CTCCGTGTATCTGGATTTAGCACTGATATGTTCCTTCTTGAGACTGCCTGGATGGAATATGTGCTGTCAGGCACAACCCTGGTGGAAATCTCCAAGATCTCTGGATGCACAGCAGCCTCAATGCTGCTGCTGAGTGATAATTCCACCCAGGTGTCCCAGATGGTTGTAATAAATGCTTGAATCTTGCCCTGAGAAAATTTTCAAGCAAAGAAAGAATGGCAAATCCAGAAAAGTTTGGACATAGACAGCTCTACTTGGAGTGTAATCTTGGGGTGCTCAGCAGTGTTCCTGATTGTCTCGTAGTGACTGGGGCTTTCTCTATACTCCAGCAGTGTTTCTGAAAGAAGTCGGCAGTTTTGAGATAGAAACTTTCTATGGTGGGAACTATTATCTCAGAATCAAAGGAAATACCTGTGTTCTGAACTTACCATGTGCTAGAAATTGCTTCTCACTTTCTAAGGGTAGTCACAGTTCTACCTGCAGCCTAATGGTAGATTTTCTTCTGGTTGCAGAACCCCTGAAGGAATAAATTGTGTTCTGGGGGCTGTTGCTGTGGGCCAGAGAGGGAATGTGCACCCTGACAGGGAAAGAAAGTTTCAAACTAGCCTTGGCAGTAAAGATGTTCTGACATGAAACTAAACTGCTTGTCCTTCTCCCCAACAGCAGAAACACCAGAATTTCACCCCCAAACTGTGCAAATAAGTTTATTTTGAAGGCATCAGTAAAATGTGTGACTTGGTTGACCATTTGCCCAGGGGAAACCTCCCCTAGAGGCAGCTGTACATCAGTTTTGTTTTGCATAAAAGCTATTGCATCTGAACTACTCCTCCACCAAAGGGATGTTGGAATGAAATGGAGACATGAAGTGACAGCTGGCCTAGAGTGGGCTATGGAAATTTAAAAACTGAAGGATTCTGCACACATTTCCCAGTTAGGTGACTCAGTGTCCACAGCGCCTTTTTCTCGCTTTTTTAGCTTTGTTCCTGAACGTCTCCAGAGTTCTTTCCAGCGTGTGTCACGCACCACATGCTTTATTCACATTCCAGGTACCCACACTTGTTTTCAGAGAGTCAAAACTGAAGGGTTTTTTTTTTTTTCCCTTCTCTCTTTCTCCCCCCTTCCCCAAACCTTAGTCTATTTATAAATTGCACAACTTGGCACGGCAGCACTGTGACCAACGTGCGAGCAGAGGGTTTAATAATCAGTTATTCTGTTTGATGTTGGTTTTGCAACCAGACAGACCAAAGTGCATTACAGATGTCTGGTTCAAGTGTTATATGGGCGAAGCAGAAGGAACTGAGCCCACATTTCTTCTGTGGCCTTCTCAACACTTCTAATTCTGGGAGGGAATACACTTTCTACAGGTGGTTGTTGTTGCTGCTGCTGTTGGGAGTTTTTAAATGCTGTTTCTGATAATCTGCTGGAAGAGCAGCACTTGCTCAGCTTGTTCAGGAGTTACGGGTAATTTGATCAAATCTTTCCTTAAAGACATGATTCTTGTTCATGAGAACTCAGTACTTGGTAGGTGGCCATTTAACCAGCCTTTATAAAGTCCTCTAAAATGAAAGGCACAAAATTTGACTTTATAATGGATCAACAGACAGAACAAAAGCCTTGGGTGCTGCTCCTGACAGGAGCAGTACACATTCTTTTATCAAAGCCATTTTGCCCTTTAGTTTGGAAATAACCCCTGCCTCCATGGAGTATGTGCATATAAAGGGGCATTTCCCTAATGCAGAAATAAAGTTCACACAATGGCAGGGGCACACTTTTTTGGTGAATTTTCTGCAGTATCCATGAGCACACTTTGGAAAGGATTAGTCCTTGGCTTTGCTTGGATATATGTGAGGCAGATGTGAATTAGCTACTGAGGTAGGGCAAGACTCTGGTCTCAGTTCTCCTCTTCTGCCATGCCCATAAATCATAGATAATTCCTATAGGATAATAAAATCAGACTGGTTTTCTATGTAGATGAGAGAACATGCCAAGTTCTTGGTGTAAATATATAAAAACTTGTAAAAATACTTTTTCTTGACTTGCATCTTCCTCTACCCTTGAAGCATACGTTTTCCCTCTGTTAATTTACTACTGAATCCAGCAGCAGCTGCAGTAGATGTTGGTACAGGGGGTCACAGGTGTTTGCAGAACCTTGACTGCTATTCAGAGGAGCCAGAGAAGAGTTCTTGGGGTGTGTCAAAGAAAGGACATGTCTATGTCCTGTGTTCTTCTGACTTGATTAACTCATATCGAAATTGTTCATTATGTTTCCAAGCTCTGTCATTGCTTCTCCTTAGATTATTTCACTTTCTGGCACATTGGTGGACTGAGCTTGGGCACGGCATCATAATTATTTTCGTTTTTCAAAACAGTTAAGTCACAAAACACAGTGCAGTTTTCTTCTTGATAACTGCATTTTTTCCATACTTCCAGGACAATGTTGAGCTCTTCTCACTTTCTTTTGGTGTGGATACAAATAGCAATCTTTCACTTTATAGGCTATAGGTCACATTTATCACTGGAAGCCTTAAAGATTTGAGGGCAAGCCTCTTGAGCCATAAACTTCCCTGTCCCTGATCAGCTACTCTTTTGTGCTGCTGGCATTTGAACTCTTTCTGTGCTAATTTGTGGCCCTTTGTCAAAGGAACAGAGAGTTTTGAACAGCTTAGATCGTGGACAGTTTTTTTGGTGCCTGCTCTGACCTATTTGAAACACATTACTGACTGTGCCCATTGCCCACCTCTACAAACAAGGAAGCAGTAAGAAGATATAATCAGGATAATCTCCCTCTGGTCTCCCATTTCCTGCTTTAATGTCAAATTTAAGGTTGCCACTCCCCAGCCAGAAGGAAACTTGAGAGCAGACGATTTTTCCTCTATTCTGCACTGTTCCAACACCATTGCGGCTGTTTGTTGACTCACACAGGAGGCTTGAAGAAAAGCTTTAGGCCTTCTGGTTAGTTCTATATTTCAATCAAGTATTCCTTCTTTCACTTCATATTTAAAAAGTGTATTAAAGTGTGTGTATTAAACAAACTATACTAATAACATAGTATACAGTATATTAACAAACAGGTATATTAAAAATATATATTTATTTTCAAATGTGAAAATAAAGGAAAGCTTCTTCTTATAATTACCACCAAAATTACCTGGCATGTGCCAGGTCAGAGGGCAGTCCCACAGTATATGGTTTGTATTTGCAACACAAATATTTATAATTTCATAAAATATGCCATATCATATAATGCCATATTTCTTTGTGTTCTCTTCAAATCCATTGTCCCAAGGTGCTTCAAATCTTAACTTATTGGCATTCAAGCCATGCTGTGATGATTTCACTTGTGCTGTTTGATAATTCATACAGTTTGTGGCTTGGGGTACCTTGCAGCCTCAGATGTAGGGGCTGTACTCTTTTCCTTGAAGATTCCTGAAATTTCCCAGCTTCTGGGTGGCATCCCCTCATATTGAAGATAATGTTGTCTGTGTATCTCCTCAAAATGCTTTTGTATTGCTTTCCCCTTTAGGATTGCATGCATCCTTTCTAAAGCATAAGGAAGTTTGGTTAGGCATGAGAAAATAGAAGCACTCGTGGAAGGCAAAACTGAAATAGGCAGATTTAGAAAATAGAAATAGAAGCTTGCACTGCCAGTTTTCCATGGGAGAGCCTGGAAGTGTCGAGTTAGCTGCAGCTGTGATGGTGTGAGAACAACAGCAGGATCTGTGGTAATAAAAATCCCTCGGTGTTGTTTCCCTTATCCGCTTCATCTGAGCTGGAAGTGACTGTGGAGGTTTGTCCTGCTGTCCCCTGGTTCTCTGCCATGGCTGCACTCCTGCCCTATCTCTCCTGTGGTATGTCTGGCCCTTAGACCCAACTTCTGGAGTAGAAAATTTCATTTTGGGTCTCCAAAAATCTCTTTTAAGTGTTTTCAGTAGGAATGATGTAAACCTGGGGGGCTGAACTTGGATAAAACTTTCTTAAGGTAGATGGGGTCAGACTAAATCTCAAACTGGAATCGTGCTCAACCTTTATGAGGAGGTTGTCTTTCTTTTATTAGACATGACATCATGAATTAACTTTAATTTTTTGCTGCTATCAAAGTGTAAATGTCTCACTGACTCACACTCCCTGTCATGCCCTGGGTGCTCTCTTTGTAGCTGCTTTCTGTCCAATACTGATTCATCTTCTTTGGCTTGTGAAATGTTTTTAACCTTGTTGGTTTTTATCTAAATTTTGGTGAATTCCTGAGTTCTATGAAGCTCTTTGACTTTTGCAATATTTGTAATCACTCCTAACTGTACTTTGGAATGATCAGTGGGGGTCATCCATGCTTAGTTTACTTCTTGCAGTGTGATTCATGCAGATGCTGGGCTGAGTTCTACCACTTATTTATCAACATCTGCAGTGGGCTGTTCCTCAGAGCAGACACTGTTTTTTCTAACCAGCTGTCCAAGGCCTGTTAACCTGACAAAATTATTCTTTCTGAAAAGCCAGTGCTAAGTGTGCAAGTAAACTTTCCTCCTTTAGCAGCAGTTCCAGATTAGTCATCTTTTAAGATGCTAGAGGATGTTGTCAGTATGGTCCCATAGATCTTGTTTCTATGACTCTCACTAACTGAATCCAGGAGTACTGCAGAGGCAAAAATTAATGTGCTCCTCTGAGGTGCCAAGTATTTTCCAATATTTCCTCCTATGTCACTGTCTTCCTTTCAGAGATGCAAAGATCACAGGTGTCTTTGAAAAGATACTATGTATTGCAATGATACCTGCTTAATTTCAGCTCAGGAGAATGATCCAGGACTGTCAGAACAGAGAAGCCCAAACTGCCAAATGCCTAAATCATCCCCTTCATTTGTTCCTATTGTCTTCAAGAACCTCAGGGTTTTCATTCACGTCTTTCACAATTTGTATTTTAACTTTCTGGGACTGTTTAGTAGCTGTAAAACACATTTTTAAATTATATCCTTAACACGTGCCTTTTCTTCTTTTTTTTCCTCTTTTCAGGAAGTATTTTGGAGAAAAGATAGGACTTTATTTTGCATGGCTGGGTTTATACACAGAATTCCTCATTCCATCTTCAGTAGTTGGGATTATTGTATTTCTATATGGATGTATAACCATTGAAAGTGACATTCCTAGGTAAGCTTATTTATGATCCATGGTTTGTTGTTTTTAAATTACAAGACTGTGCTTTTTCTTACTAATTTGTAGTGAGAATAACTGGTTTTAACTTGTCTGAAGAGCAGTGATGTATAATTACCAGCCCTGTGAGCATTACAAACACAGGGGCATTGAAGAGGTATTTGAAGGGCACACATTTATTTGACTGGTCAGTGTCTCACTTCCTGAAACAGAAATGTGAAGTGAGTCCAGTGTATTAAATTAGTTTTCTAAGATATTAATTTGGTTTTTATGAGTGCATATCGCTCACTGCTCAATCAGTCATTGTGTAAAACTCGCCGAAATTAATGCAAACAGTGTCCACGACTCTTGGAACACTCGATTCCCATTAAAATCAGACCATTTGTACAAGTAAGATGAACAATAATTACAAGACTTAGCAAATGTCTGCAGATCAAGGGATGTGATTCTGCCCCTCTGCCCCGCTCTGCTGAGACCCCCCTGCAGGGCTGCATCCAGCCCTGGGATCCCAGCACAGCAAGGACAGGGAGCTGCTGGAGCCAGGCCACAGCAGGGACACCAAGGGGAGCAGAGGGATGGAGCAGCTCTGCTGGGAGGAAAGGCTGAGGGAACTGGGATTGTTCAGCCTGGAGAGGAGAAGGCTTTGGGGTGACCTCACTGTGGCCTTGCAGTGCCTGAAGGGAGCCCACGGGAAAGATGGAGAGAGACTCTGGACATGGGCCTGGGGTGACAGGACAAGGGGGAATGGCTTCACACTGACAGAGAGCAGGGTTAGATTGGATATCAGAAGAAATTGTTCCCTGTGAGGGTGCTGAGGCCCTGGCACAGGTTTCCCAGAGCAGCTGTGGCTGCCCCATCCCTGGCAGTGTCCAAGGCCAGGCTGGATGGGGCTCTGAGCAACCTGGCTTAGTGGAAGGTGTCCTTGCCCATGGCAGGGAGTTGGAACTGGATGATCTTTAATGTCTCTTCTGACTCAACCCATTCTATGATTCTATATTTAGTCTTCACAGTGTTCCCCTTCTAGACACAAAATAATGATGAGTTTTGTGCATCTCGATGGGAATATGCCACACAGAAACTGCCAAAGTGACACCGTGGTGTTAATGTCTACTTCCCAGTGGAAAAAAAAAATCATTCCTGTTTGTTGTCTGTGTCTGACTTCTGCTGGAGACAGGATACTGCAGTACTTGTATGCTGATCATGCTCATGCCAGTCCCTGAACTGACAGCTTTTAAAATCACTACAGTAGGACAAGATTACTGATAAGTGAATGATGAACAGCACCACATCTGAGGCAGGGTCTGTTTTCTTAGCTTGATCTGAATAAATCTTGGTGCTTGTCAGGGTGAAAGCTTGTGCTAACATTTAAACTCCAGTGAGATTTATGGATGAGATGTATCTGCAGCACCCTCTGCTGCCTTTTGAAATAGAAAATTACTGTAACAATGTGAAAGCTGGAAACACCTGCATGCTTTTCAAGCCATATAATATAAACATATTCATAATACAGCTTGATTTGTCCTTTTTTTTTTTTTTTTCATTTGAAGTCATAAGGAAAAACAATGTTTTTCAGGATGGTCCATAGGAACATTCATAATCACCATATGCCAGCTATCATTGAAATAATGTGGCAACTCAGCTCATGATCCTGGCAAGGACATTTGAGCTTTGCACTACTCAGCTCACCTAAGTAAGACTGTGCAGGTACAAAAGGCTTTCACATCCAAACTTCATGGAAAGCACTGAAAGCATTCTCAGCCCTGACAAGAAGTGTTTGGCCTGTTAAAGTGATACTAATAATGTTTTTTTCAAAGATATTTAGAATCCGAATACATACATAGCAAATAAGACTGAGAATCAAAATAACAACCTTACAGTAAAGATTTAAAATCTGTAAAATATCTTTTTTCTCATATTTTTGTGCCACCACATAAAAAAATGTGTATTTTGATGACAGTACTGAATTTTCTTTGAGACCACTTCAATCTTTCTTTTCAGTGGTTTAAATCTAATTTGTATCAAATCACATAACTGACTGCAGAGATGCAAACTCCACTTTTGTGTTTGAATTTTGGTTTTTTAGTGTGGTTAACCTCAATCTTCAGTGATGTTGTCTTCCTTAGCTCACTAATACAATGCAGTGATCAGTCTTGTTGAGTGTTGCATCATTTTCCTGTTGGTAAGGTGCCTATAAGGGTTTAAAAAATTACTATCCATGGCAATGAACCTTGAGGTGTTCTGGTGGGAAAACAAAACCAGTGAGAGACTCCAAGTCATAAATACAATTTATTAGGAAAAGTGAAAAAAAACCCCACAATACATGCAATAATACTAAAGAAAAAACACTGACAGAGTCAGAATACAACCTGACACCCTTTTTGGTCAGGGTGTTGGTAGCTGTCCAAATTGGAATGGCTGCAGTCCTCCTGGAAATCCACAGAAAAGCCTGAGTCTGGTGTCCCAAAAACCCAGATTATATGCAGGTAGGAATTCTTGGCTTCTCCCTCTGAGCAGAGCATCTCACCATGGGATGTTATAGTTCTTATCAGTCATGTAGTGATAGTCAGTGTCCCATTACCAGCAGATGTCTCCTCTGAGGGAGAATTGGTTGTGAAAGAGATAAGGAAAACTGCCCTCTTAACACAACTGCCATAGAGATGGTAATGGAATACATCTTGCCTTTCAATCTGGGACAGGAGGAAACACACAGCTCCTGCTCTCTGCAAGAACAGGCCACAGATATTGCAGACAGCCCATAATAGCTGTGATGTTCTGCTGGGTATCAGCGCTGCACACCCACAGTCTGTGAGCTGGGACACTCAGATGACCCTGTGCCCTTGTCTGTCACAGCAAAGAGATGTGTGACCAGCGCAATGCCTTCACCATGTGCCCCCTGTGTGACAAGTTCTGTGATTACTGGAACCTCAGCTCTGCCTGTGCCACCGCTCGAGCGAGTCACTTGTTTGACAACCCTGCCACGGTTTTCTTCTCCATCTTTATGGCTCTCTGGGGTGAGTATGGCTTTGCAAGCTAACAGTGCCCTTTGATGTTTGGGCTCTTTACAGCATAGCAAAGTGCTGTTTGATTGAATGTGATCCCTGTGATTTTTGGAAGCTGGCAATACTCAGAAGGCCAGGGAGAGCTGTCTGTGTTGAGGCTGGGGAAAGCAATATCACTGTCAACAGCAAGCTCTGGAATAAATGGAGTTGTGTAGTTCAGGGAAGAAAAAAAAGAATCTTTCTTCCTCTTCTGCCGTGTCTAGAATCAGAGTTGTCAAGTCTGGAAAAGATCTACAAGATCATCAAGTCCAGCCTTTGGTTGATCTCCACTTGTCAACTAAACCAGAGCGCTGAGTACCATGTTCAGTTGATTAAACATCTCCAATGATGGTGACTCCACCACCTTCCTAGGCAGCCCCTTCCAATGCCAATGGGAAGAAATTCTTCCTGGTGTCCAACCTGAACCTTCCCTGGCACATGTTGAGGCCATTTTCTCCACAGAGGAAAGGGTGCCATTAATGGCACTTCTAAACTTTGCCATGTTTTTGCTAATTCTTCTTTATTTTCCATCAACATGTCACACCCTTTTAACCCCTTCTGCATTTGGAGCCAGAATGTATTTGAGGATTGGTATGGAGAAGACAACTGAAAGGGTCTAATTTAAGCATAGTCTCACTACCTTGTGGGACAATTCAGTCACATAATTTTATCAAAACTTTATGGGATTCCAACAGCAATGGAGCTATTTTAATTTTAATTATAATGTATTTTAGAATATCCCATTTAAACAAGCTTGCTTTTCTTTAATGGCAAATATCCCAAATAAACGAATGCATTGCAGTATTAGTCTTGTTGTTTCTGGCCTCACCTCTGCTCTGAAATGCATTTGTATTGTGCCTGCATTAATTATTGCTGGTATTATGATCTCCTCTATACTAGAACTTGTTTATTGTGAAAGTTAAATGTGTTATTGCTACTGTAAAATGATTTTTTTGTTTCTCTATTCGTTGTTCCCAAAATGAAATTATCATTCTTAATATGAAACTGAGCAAATCTGTTATTCCATTATAGCCATGTCTCAGCAACCAGTGTGTTATTCTTTGCAAGCCTATTAAGATTTTACAGCTTGTTTTAGAAGGGACTGATTGGTGGCTTGGCACTGGGTGAGGACAGCAGAAGGTTTTTAAGGAGTTTGCAGACAGGACAGATCATGGAAGCAAGAAGTATTTATTTACCAGTTCCTGGAAGCCATAGAGCAAACTTAGAGAGAATTATGACTAAGAAATAGGAAAAAAGAGGATGAATTTATAGACTCTGAGAATAATTCATTTTACCACTTCAGATTACAGGGTAGACTGGCAGATTAAGTGTCACCTGCTGCTGTGAGGCTTAAAATAAATAAAATATTATTTTCCTGACAAAGAAACTCTACTGTAAACTGGCATCTATGCAAATGACAATGCCACTGAACCTCATCCAGAACAATTGTATTTTAGTATCAGCAATGCAATGTGCAAAAGAAAATGTTAATATATCTTTGCACTAAGAAAAATTAGTAGAATCTGTTATGGAACAGAATAGGACAAAAAGTTCCATATGCACTGCTTTAAAAAAATCCATTTAAGAATAACAAAATTCTTTCACAGCTGTAGCCCTCCTTCAAAAAATGTTTCCCACAGATTAGAAAATTCTGTTCTTGGGACCATGATAACTGAGCTTGTCAGTTCAAGAAAATGAAGTCGGCACACACAAAAAGCAGCAAAGCGAAATAATGGAGCCTTTACTAACTCTGCCCGGCTTTCCTATCAAGTATTAGATTACACCAAATTTTGCTGCCCTACTACTGCAGGCTGTGCTGTAGCTTAGTCTGTTGAATGGCAGAGCTCACACACACACACCTATTCCAGGTGTGTATTTAGAAGGGCAAACTAAGGTGATCTGGGCCAGCTTCATTTCATGAGGGTGCTGTGCACAGGAATTCTTTCGTCTTGCATGTTTTCTCCCATTCTTCAGAAAGCAGAAGGCTTCCTATGGTTAATATTCCAAAGGAATCATGCTTTTAGTAGCTGCTCCTGATTCCTCATGAAGTGTCATTGTGATTCCAGCAGCCCTGCTGCAAGTGTCCATATTCACAGTAATGCCTGGCTGACTGGGCTTGATGACACTGGTGTTCTGGTGATGAATTTCAGTGTCAGGTGCCTTTATTAGAAGCTTTACAGAATCACAGAATGATTTAGGTTGGAAGGGACCTTAAAGCTCATTCAGTTCCAACTGTCCTGCCATGTGCAGGGACACCTTCCACTATCCCAGGTTGCTCAGAGCCCCATCCAACCTGGCCTTGGACACTTCCAGGAATGAGGCAGTCACAGCTTCTCTGAAAAACCTGTGCCAGGGCCTCAGCTCCTCACAAGGAAGAATTTCTTCCTAATATCCAATCCAAACCTCCTCTCTGTCAACTTAGTTTTTCTGCTGGTGTAAGTCTGTGCAGACGTGCTGATTTTAGAGCAGCTGCTGCATCAAGCCAAGTACGTTCTCATAGAGCTAAATGTGGAACTGAGTTTTTTGTATAACAGGAAAGAATGGAATGAGTAATAGCACCCTATAAAATAACCAAATGTTTTTGTATTTAGGATATCTAAAAACCCTTGAGTTTTCAAACCATGCTAAATATAGCTTTTATATGTTCTTTCTTCTGTAGGGGAGGAACACAGATAGCAACTTTGTTGCTTAATATCTAGATTTGCTTTCCATGTGCTGCCAGTCCTATTTTTAAATTATATTTATTTCTTATATGATGATACCTGTGAAGAAAATATTTGCAGCTAACTGTTGGAGTAGATTATGACTTGTAGAGGCAGGTTATTTTCACAGAGTTCCCACTTTTCTTAGTGTTGTCTGACAGTTTAGATGCAGTCAAGAGAAGCTAATCTGATTCTTCACTGCTGTCTCTCTTGTGGGACTATCTACAAGATGTTCAAAGTGATCTAACAGTGTTTTTCACCCACTGAAAAAGTGAGGTGAAGCATAAGAAAATAGAAAACAGTGCCCCCAGTTGTTCATAGGTATAGCTTTTAATTATGAGCAACTAGGAAAGGGCTATACTGGGGAAACAGCAATTATGAGAGGGCAGCCAGGAGACTGCAAATATGGGACAACAGTAAAATACCTGTTCCTTCTTATTAGTAAAAAAGGAGAGGCAGGAGGCTGAACCAGGGGCCAGTCCTTTGGGGCAAAATCACCATGTCTATGAAGGTAAAAAGCATTTACCTCCACCATTGTAATATATTTCAAAATATCTTTTTCTATATCTTGCTGAGGATCCTAGTTATTTCAGTAGCAGGCTAAATCTACCTCAGAATGCCTCATGGTGAATTAAGAGAGATGATGTCTTCCATGGATACCTGCAGTTATGGATTCAGTTCCATTCCCTGACAAGAACTTAACGGTGGCTCTGGGCAACCCGTGTTCCATCTTTCTGTATTTTATTTTTAAAGGACAGAAATTATTGTCCCTGTGGTTTGCTTGAATTCTTTCTTTAAAACGGGGCCTGAGGCTGTTTCTTAGTTCTGAATTTTAAAGGGTCTATCTAGCATGATGGGATTGAAATATCAGTTGAAGCTTACAAGTAACATGAATTTTTAAAATTGTTTAATTCCTGTAAAAGCGACCATGTTCCTTGAACAATGGAAGCGTTTGCAGATGAGATTGAGTTACTTCTGGGATCTTACTGGACTGGAAGAAGAAGAGGTAAGTCTCCTTCCCGTGGGCTAATTTACTGTGTTAATTATTCTATAGATGCATATTATATAAGCACCGATGTATAGATGTCTCACTAGTGTTATCCAGCCCAATGCAGTTTGTGGCTGTGTTTAGATAAAGGACTGTAACTGATGCAGTCTTGAATATCAGTGTTTATTTTGGAAATCCTCACCTATATCTTACTGTTCAGTAGTTAATAATGTTAACTTACTAACTTCATTTAATAATTTTAAATTATAAACCTCAGTTCTGAAATTAATAATGAATGTTGAAAAGGATTTATAAGGTAAGAGGAGATCATGTTTTGCTGAGAATGCCCATATGCCATTGTACAGTGTGCAATAACACAATGACAATGAATAAATACTTTGTGATGTTACTTCATTATGTATAACAAGAATTCTTTGTGATGATGACAGCCACAGGTCACAGTACCATCAGCAATTTTTGCATCAAGGTCTGAGTCACATCTGTGATATCTTAGGTACTCCATCCTGACCTCAAGGTGCTCACCACAGAGCTGTTTCAAAGCAATAAATGGTGTGGGTTTCTTCAGAAAGAGCTTTCCAATGAGCCATGGGGTCTCCAGCCATAAACTGAACTGACTGAAAATGAGACATACTTGTTTATTGGTATTTAAAATGTGCCTAATTTTGTTTTTAGTTCCATCCTTTGGTTTGCTCTAATGACTCTCTCATCCAAGGATTCATTTCTAACCCTGACTAAAGAGAGTGCAGTAACTAAAATTATAAATAAATATCATATGAAGAACAGGTATACTTTGGACTTTCTCCTGGCATTAGATGCTGAGATGTCTGTAAACAGGGTCATATTCTGTAATTCAGAACCATCTTGGTTTGCTGGAAGGATTTGAATCCATTTCTTCTCTTCCTGTTCCAGCAGGGTTCTTTAAACAATATGCCACCTACAAGTCTTTAGCCATGCTAGGTGAGCTCAGCTCAGACGGGAGATTTATAATAGGAGCAGATACCATGGGGGAAAAACAAGCTGACATCATGGACTTCATGATACAGAATGGTAGTGATGTTATTCCTCTATTTCCTATTTCCCAGATCACAATATTTGGATAAAACAAAAAGATTGTGATCATCTACCAGTGATTCCATCCTGTCATATAAAACTATTTTTCCTTGACAAACATCCCATTAATAGGGAAGTCTAAACCGATCCTTGGTGTGAATGACAATCTCTTCCCTAGACTTCTCACTCCCTGCATCTTATGTCCCCATTATAAGAAATAGAGGGTTTAACTCCTTGATTTCTAATAATTAACCCTTTTTCAGCAGAGAACAGCTGGGTTCTCTGTTGTGCTCATTCCACATTTCTATCTTGCTTTGGGGAAGCAGCTGGGTCATTCCAATTTTTATTTGTGGAAACCTTCCTTTCCATCAGTGTGAACTGCTTAGCTGCTCTGCTTGTGTTCAGGATGTTAGCCTAAGGATGTTCAAGGAATTTGCAGTGGGTCTTTGCCTTTACTTAGAGTATATGGCTTATTTTTTTTTTTGATAACTCTTTTAATTTGTCAAATCTGGGATAGTTGCTACGGTTCTAATTTTTTTTTAAATACATTCCATGTGTTTGTCATGCATGTTTGTAAAATTTAATTATCACATTCTTTCTAAATCAAAGGGAAATTAAGGAGAGGTGGGTTCACATCATTTATTCTTATCAAACTGGATCATTATCTACAGAGGTTTAATTTGATGGATAGTGGATACACATGTGTATGTTTGAGGCAATCCTGGAGACCACTCTCAGGGAAAATTCCCACTGTCAACATGAGTTTTGCCTGAGTAGAAATTTCATGTTTTGGCTCTTTGTTTTCAGAATGGGAATTATCCTTTTCTACTTGGAGCACTCATTTGGCCTTGCAATACCTTGGCTCACACGGTTTTCCATAAGTGTCTGGCAGCTGTACTGGCAAACTTCCAGCATCCTGGGATTCAGATCTATCCCTACATGGACATTTGGCCTTTGTGAACTCATCACAACTATTTCTAGCTTGTTGTCCTAAGTGTAGAACTCTTCCCATTTTCAGACATAGAATTGATTCTGAACCACACTTTTTTACGGCCGAGTGGAATTGTCCCTTTACATCCATGGATGCATGGGTCAAACATCCCTAAGTCTGGACTATATAGAAATATTTTGTGCAAAACACTCATAAAAGGAATATATACAAAATGCATTCCAGGATCTCTGTGGTCTGTTCAGTCAAGGGTAAGATGACTTGGCAAATTCAAAAAAGACAGATCATCTACTGTTCCAGTCCAGGTGTAAGTGTATGAAAGGCAGTTAAAGGGATACTGGAATGTCTTACTAGGGAAGTTAAAGATAACTTGGCCAAATTTGAACAGAATATGCACTCAGAGCAAAATTGTCAATAGCAAGAATTAATTTAGCATACAATGTTTTGCTTGGCATTTGTTCTCTTTATTTCACCCAGTTCTCATTCAAGTCAGTTTTCAAAAGTTGCTCTGACCTCTGGAGACTGCCCCTCATGTCCCAGAATGTTTTGCTTAGAAGAAAGTAAGAGAAAAAAAGGAAGAAAAAGAATTCAGGTCTGCAGTAGCATAGTTTATCTAGATCTCCTCATTTTCTTACAACTTAATATATCTCCTTTCCCTGCTTTGATCAAGCTATCTCCTCTCATGTAGCTATCCATGCCAGATATCTTCATCCTTCCTTCATTTAAGTCTAAAGATGTTTGTCACATCCAACTGCTGAATCTTTATGTCAGGAAGAGTGTAAGCAAATAATGCAAATCAACAGAAGACAGTAAAAATTTAAGAAGCATCAGCACACAGGTGTTTACTCCAGTAACTTTAAATGCTTATTGTTGTATCTTTCTCTGTCCTTTTCTCATCCTGCTTACCACCGTTTTTGCTACTGATCAGCTTTATTAATGTTAGAGTTTACCTGTGCTCTTCCAATCCAGACTATTCCAAGAATCCATGATTTAAATGATACTTTATCACATACCTTTTGAATGCTTTAGGAAAACCTCACTATCAGGATAAAAAAAGAGTTTGGAGGTCTCACTGAATTTATATGCTCACATTAAACAGAGAATGGTGAGGGTTGTGTCTGCTGTGGTGAAAATGTCACAGGTACAGAAAATGAATACCACCTGTATCTCTCAAGGAATTATGGTGCAGTTCCATGTAGGCCCCATTCTATTGCTCATGAGTATTTATTAATTTAAAATGGTTTTTGTTCTCTTCATGATTATCAGATTAATTTAAAATGTTAATAACCCATTATTTTGGATGGGGCTGATATGCAAGGTTCTAATTATAGTAAAGAAGGATTATATTATTAATGCTGTAGGAGTAGCTTTCTTTTTGTGGGAGATGTCAATCCAAATTCCAGCTCTGAATGAATTCAGAACTTGGTGGGAATGAGGAGATGCATGATATTTTTTGTGAGCTGCTCACTTGAAAAGCCTGGTAAATTTTTGCCACCTTGTTTATTTTATGCTCTGATTTGGGAAAGAAAAATATATTTTGCAAGGGCACATGGAAAAGTTATTGATTAGGGAAGCTGGGCCAGATCTGACAGCCTAGTCCAAAAGGTGTGTGGAGTTGCATCATCCTGATGGCTTTGTGAATGTGACCAAAAATCTTGGGGATTTTCTCTTAATCATAATCATTTTTTTGTTTGTTTTTGTCTTCCTCAGGAGCATCCCAGGCCAGAGTATGAAACGAAACTGCTGCAGAAAAAGCTGAAAAAGAAAAACATCACAACAGAAAGTACAAATGAGGTGAGATGCAGTTTCCTCTTTTAATTTATGTGGGATTTGTCTTTTGCTTTGTTGTGATTATATTTTTTTCTGTCTCTCAGTGGTTGCAAAAGTCACTTTTTGGTGCTCTAAATTATTCTTTTGAGCTGGTTGGTGGTGCTGTGGTGAAATGCAGGCCTGCAGTGCCATTGCAGGGCTTTGAAGTCATGTCTTTCAAAGTAAAGCAATTTGCATAGAAATGGGGTTGACAGGTGGTTCAGGATCTAATCTGTAGAGTAGTGCCTGATTCCCAAGATAATCATCACAGAATTCTTATAGCAATCCCTCATCCCTCAGAATGACAGTACTTTCTGCATAATGAAGAAAGCAGCTTTTATTATGGTGATTTCATTTCCAAAGGTAACCCTGATGTCTTTAGTACTGCTGCAGTTACACAATGGTGAAGTTTTAATGGCATTTCCAGCAAAATGGAAAAATAGTCAGTAGATCATTTTCAGACTGAAGTGGGTTCAGGATTTTTATGGCTATTTCAAACTTTTTTGAACAAAGCCTTTTTTATCAATCTCCTCTTGTAAATTGTTGACTGAGGTCTATTTTCTAAACATTCACAAATTATGTAGTCTCAGTCCATTAGGCTTGGTTAACCATTGCTTTTTCCCTGCATTCCACGTGTGCTAGCAAAGTCAATACATTCCAATACCATGTTCAGCTTCCAGAGAGAAAGAAAAAAAAAACAGTTTAATTTGCTTACAGGTTGAGAATCAGCATCCAAAGGAGAGAATTTTCAAGTTTTCAGGTTTGGTCCAAGAAATATAGCTTATGGAAGAACTTAATTATCCCTTTGTTCTGCTGACCACTGTTGTAAAAGTGTTTCCAGGGAATCTTTCATTTCAGTGAGTGTGCCTGTTACTTGTTGTGCCCAACCAAACTCCACCGAAGATCATGGAAAGGTTCTCAATTATTTTAGTGTGCTTTTGATCCTGCCCAATAAGCAGAGACTCACAGAGCACTGTGGAGTCTTATACATTGTACAGCTCTTTTGGCCTTTCAAGGGAGGGATCAGGGACTGTAAAAGTCCAATAAAATAGTTGCTCTTCAGCTTTTTTTTTTTTTTTTTTTGGCTTAAAGTACATGGGAACTGGAAACAAGTCTGCCATTGATGCTGTAGAATATTATAATTATCTTGCTAATCTGAGATACATAATTAATTATAAATTAGACATTAATTTAAGGTAAAACAAAAAAGAAATAGAAAAAAGTCCCAAACAAAAATCCCCCAAAGCACCAACCAAATGAGAAAACCCCACACCAAAACCTCAAAAATAATTCAAGAAGAAATGTTCAGTGAATAGGTGGAAAACAAGGAACAATGTAAAGATCCAGCACTACACAAGTAGGAAAAGCTCCTTTCAGACATCAAGAATCAAAAGGCTAACATGGAATATTTTTTGTCAAATTGCTTTATGTGCCAATGTGTACGGAAAAATTACTGAATTTCTGAATTAGTGTTCCCCAAATTACTGAAATATATTCCAAGCAACTGAGCAATTTTCCATCAGTGAACATTTTGGCTTACTAATTTTGTCTAGCAAACGGCACATTAGTCTGGGTTTGGAAGATATGATGTTCATGCCTTTGTACATCAGTCTTATGAAATGATGAGATGTTGTTGTGAGAACTGCAGAAGAGGAAAAAACCTAAACATAACCATTCAATTAAACTGTCCTAAGTGTGGAAATGCACCATCACAGGTAGCTTTGGAAGACCCTTAGAAGTTAGACATTAAAAGTGATGAGTATTTAAGATTACAATAATTATTTAGCCTTATTTTTAGAGATATTAACCTTTTCTTTTTGCAGGACCATAAGCTCAAGAGATTTTGTGTGGCAGGTTAATATTAGGGCACAGGTTTCTGTGAGGTCTCTGGCTCAGTATTTGTCTTATTGGGTGGAAGCCAGGGTACAGAACTTTGTCATATTATTAGGGGAGCTCTAGTGGCTGGACAGGCATCAAAGTAGAGATATCTCTGTAGTTAAAGATTCAATCCTCCTAATTTCTTGATTTTGTGTGAATACACAGATGTCTGTGAGGTCTCTATCTCTTCATGTTTTGGTTGACGGTCTAATGTCATGGCATAAGTCTCTGTGAAGTTTTCTCCTGAATGTTTTTAGCTAACTAGTGCAAATTAAAGGCATATCTTTTTTGGTGTGGCTGGTCAACAACTGTAGTGTGCTGCATTAATATCAAAGGACTGGCTCTGGTGCTGCTGCCTAAAACTTCTCATTACTTATTTAACATGAAGTCAGAAGTCTTCAATTCAGCAGCTGTGGCTTGTTGGGATAGAAATGATGCCAAAGGGTGGCTATTGTGAGAATACTGATCTGGAGCTTACTTAAAGGCATATATTTCTATAAAATTACTGGCTTGTTGCCAGTATGTTAATTCCTCTGTTCCAGTGAGGAAGTGACTGGTTTTATGGCAAGAAGCAGCTTTTATGTGCAAAGCTCTATGTACAGTGCATTTTTTTTTCCCTTGCCTTACTCCAACAAGGAGTTCTTGTGAATCTAATTGGGTTATTTTTGCAATGAAGGGACAGGGGTTTGTTTAGGGGCTGCTTTTGTGATTGTACGAGAAAAGTGACACCACTTACATCCTCTCTTAAATGATAACTTGGGAATACACGTTCAGAGGAAACCAGCACACAGTTTTCTCTCTCTGCTGTTCAAGTCATTAACTTTAATGAATGTGGAAGATGCTCAGCACCTGTCAGGGTCAGTAAACATATGAGTCACTCTACCCAGGCAGCAAATTCCAAATCAGCCTGATGAGCCTGGCAAGACAAAGTATAACGCATCTAATGTATTACTTGCCCAGTGGGGCTTGTGTTCTAGAATACAGCTCTCATACAAAACACCACTTGGGTGTGTTTTTGCTACTAGAATAAGCAAAGAACAAAATTTCACCCTCCACCACCCTGTTCAGGCTGTTCAAATAAATATTTTATTGGTTATTTGGAGAGTGAGGAAGAAACTGTGAGGACTCAGAGAGCTTCACAAAAGATTGGTGAACAATAACACCCCAAGGTTCTATTATTTCAGGAGAGATTTCATTTACAGCTAAAGGAGTTGAAACATTTGTGCAAAATGCCTCAGATTAAGTAGCACAAGATAAACAGAGAGTCCTTATGAATTACAACATTGATTTTAGAAAATGACAAGTTCTAAGTGACTGATTTGGGAAATCTGGAATGATCTGTCTTGTAGTCAATACTATTATTTAATTCTTTATGGTCACATGGTATTTACAAGGCTGTGCAGTGATAGCACAAGGTGGAATGACTTACACCTGATAGAGAGCAGGTTTAGATTAAATATTAGGATGAAATTGTTCCCTGTGAGGGTGGTGATGCCCTGGCACAGATTGCCCAGAGAAGCTATGGCCATCCCTGGAAGTGTCCAAGGCCAGTTTGGATGGGGCTCTGAGCAACCTGGGCTAGTGGAAGGTGTCCCTGCCCATGGCAGAGGGTTGGAACTGACTGATCTTCAAGGTCCCTTCCATTAAAACCATTCTGCGAGTCTCTGATATAAAAGCTTGCCATGTATTGCTCCATTCATGAACATCAAAAGCCATTTTTGTCCTTGCAGCAGAGGTGGATTACACACGTGTATGAATGCATGTGTCTATAATACATTCATGCAAACACAGCAGATGCAGGCTTTGTAATGAAGCAATTAATGGTATAGTTTGTTTTTTCTTAAATGAACTATAACATGGAAAATGTGGATGGAGATATTTAATGAATAGGCTTAAGTTACTGTATGTGCAGAATGTTAACTGAAAATGTGGTGGATATTTGCAATCTTCTGAGAAGTTCTTCTCTCTCTGCAGTAGTGGAATCCTCAATGGAATTACACAGAGGTCAGGAAATGAAAATTGGTCTTGTGCCTGAAAACATGCAGATGGGGCTAGATCCAACTCTCACTGGAGCTGATGGAAAGCCTTCCAGTCATTTCTGTGAGAGATGGATCAGGCCTTGACTCCTTTTCATTAAATGTTCAGCTGATCTGGCAAACATGATTCAATATGATGTGTAGATGTGTGTGTGTGTGTATATATATATATATATATATAAGTGTGTGTTTGTTCTTATCTTTAGTATTTGGCAGGAAAGTGAATAACTCATTCTACATACTTCTCAAGGAAAATTTTCTTTATAGAAAAAAAAGGGCTTGTCTCTTGGCTTGTGTCCTGACTGGGAGCAAACCCTAGCAGTAATAGCTTCCGGCATTTTGTCTTTCCTTTAATTCATTTTAAATATGATATTGGCGGAATCAATTATTCAAATTGTTAATTCAGCTGGTAATTGAAACAAAAAAAAAGTTATTTCTGTCTGAACCATCATTTCAGTTAACAACTGAATTAAAGCAAGTTTGAAGAGGAGAGTCTCTGGTGTAAAGGATGATGCAGATAAATATCAGGTAGAATTGTACACTGCTAATACTTTACATATCTATTTTTAAAATTTCAACATGTCAAAACATGAAATAAAAATTCTTGCTAGTATTTGATTCCTTACCAGTTTTCATTAAGCGTATGTCCCACAAGGATTAAAAACCCTTTCAGATACTGGAGCCTATCTCTTCATTGAGCAAGTCCTTGATAAGATTAACTAAAAAAAAAAGCCACTCTTATTATTGTATATATTAGCAGAAACTCTGTAGAAGAAACCAAGATAATTGGTGATAAATACCAGTTCGAACAATCAGAGTTATAAAAGAACTTTAAATATACTCAGGGTTCTTTAACCCCTAATATTTTAGCATTCATTGAACCATATTATTAGTATGATAAAGCCATCAATTTGATACAATATTTCTTAAAATGGCCAGTGTCTCCCTGGCCTCTTTCATGTGTTTACTTTAGGAAATATCTTTCTAAGCATATGAGATACTAAGATGAATATATAATGAATTTTTTTTTTCCTTTTTGACTTACTTCTTGCATCATTAACTTTTGAAAATAAAAAATGACTGAATGAAAATAAAAGAATGGCTGAAGAGGAGTGAGGACACATGATTGTAATCTTACACAGAGATTTCATCCTCTTTTTTGTACCTGTATTTGTTATAATTCTGCTTCTTTTAATGTTTATTTGAAGTCTAGGTTCTGGAAGTTTCATACAGGAGTATTCATAAGCAGAATTTATGAAAGCTTTCAGGATTTTATATAGTCCAAA